ATTGTTTATGGAGAATTGGTACATATGGCTGATCTTTCTTTAAATCATTTGGTTTAGAAAGCTATGAAATTTCTGAGTAAAATTCATAAAGGCCTTGCTAGAATCTGTTGATCTCATTCTACTGTTCTATTGGTTATGCAAAGGAGTTTTCAAGTTACACTCACATGCACACAAAATTATCAGCCTGACCTCTTTCATAAGGCCTTTAAGTTGATGGTGAAGCACAAAACTTGCACCTGAGAAAAATTATCTCATGTAACTATACAGGAAATAGGCCATAAACACAAGTTTCTTTTTGCTAAAAAAGAGAATTATGAAGGTACATCTTGGAATATTGCCTGTATTTCTTGTCATGTTACAGAAAAGAATATCTCTAAAAGAGAAATAAATATGATAAAAAGCTTAAGATATTTCCTTTAAGACAACTAAAATAATCAACTGTAGAGTAGACAGAAGTCTGGCCATGTTGGTGTGATAGATACTTGGAGAGGTATAAAAGTTAACATTTTTCGCCTTGTACATTATCAAGGACAAATATGACCTCAAACAATATGGCAATGACAAAACAAAACAAAACAATTAGGCTGAATAAATCACTGTCCTGTCATTCATTTTAATGTCCTCATCTTTTCAACTTGCTTTTACCTGCATGATGCTGAGGAACCAACAGTTAAAAAACTTTCTGTAGCACTCTAGGAAGAGAAAAAATTGAGTGACACTAAACCAGAAGAGAAGGTTGATAGCAGGGGCAATAATGAGTTTTGTACAGATAAAGGGATAGAATATGAATGACAGAAAGATATTATGCACTTCCATTCAGAAGAAGGAAACAGGGAAGGTCAAATCTAAGAAGGGTGCTCTATAGGCTTAGAAACAAAAATGATTTTTTTCAATGGAATAATGTTTGAAAATTATACATACTCTGCTAGGCAAGTTTTTCTTATAATGGCATAGGTTCAGCACTACCCTGGAAAAAGAATAGCTTTCAATAACCTTTACTAGACCATGATTAAAATTCAGTTTACCAGTTTTCTCATTATCTCTTAAGATATGTGTAAAATAATGATTTAATTCTAATCTGACTTGACTTTTTTATTTTTAGTCTGGGAATTTCTGTTTTACAGTCTTCTGCACAAAGTCCTTCAAAGTGCAAAAAAAAAAAAAAAATCAAAGGAGATAGATGATCTTGATAGTCTCTTATGCAACAGAGCTGCTGGCCTCATTTAAATGGAAATGTGCATTTTCATGGAAATTTAGGCCTATATTGATGAACAAAGAGAAGTTGTCACTATTAAATGGAATGATGATATACAAAGAAGTATCCTGGAAATCTCCAGTGAAGTTCACAGGAGAAGATAAGGGGGTTTAAAGGCTATCTTTCTCTCTATCTACCTACCTAGCTACCTAAATATTCATACTGATAAATTAAATTTTCTAATGTTTTGTTGTGGAGTAATTTGGATGGTTACAAAGCTGAAAATCTTATGAGGGGTTGTGGAAGACAGATTGAATATAAATATCTCTGATGAGTGACATATATGAAAAAATTAATGAGCACATTGTCTTTTTTAAGTATTAAATATGCAATTAACATTGCTTAATGAATGTGTTAAGAAATATCATGAGTCCAGTATAGTATCATTTCTCATGGTCTTAGTAAATTAATGTGACTAGTTTTATATTCATTTTTTATAACTCATTCATGAGATATTTATTGTATACTGGGTCTTGCAACTAGAAACATAGAAAGAATTTGTAACTGTTTCTGTGCCCCCAAAGCATCCAGGTCTTGTGGATTTGTTTGGCAATGATATATAGATTTATACTTTCACAGGAACAATCTAATGAACCCTGATATTGTAGAAATAGAAGATAAGAAACAGCCAGCAAGTAGAGGAAAAACAGGCTGGGAGACATGTAAATTTCCCTTTGTGATTACAGTTTAAAATTGGACAACTAACCAATTTTGAAATATGTGCAAGATGTTACATAATTACTAATTTGTCTATAATTTGACTAATATTGGGACTCAGAAGAGAACATCTCAAATAAGTCACTTTCAATGTCAGATTGAAGGATTCTAGAAGGGCAACAGAAAGTCTCTTGTGTCCCACTGTCTTGTTCACCTGAAGCAATTCATAGAAACAGAATTCTTCTTTCCCAAAGTGAGTCACAGAAAATAGTTATTACTTTAACCTTCTTCTCCTTTTCTATGTAGGCGCAGACCATATAGAAACTCTCTTGCCTACTCTGGCTGATAGTACATCATAAGAGTCTCATTCTAAAAGGTTTTTACCTCATATGTCTGAGCAGGGAATGCTACACAGAGAAGCTAAGAAGAATCTGAACAGATAAGCCTTGCAGGACTTCCCCCTTCCCTCTGTTACCATTAAGTCACAGATCTTTGTCCAATCACATTTCTGAACAGCTGCTGTCCAGCTTTTATTAAAAATAAGCATTCAATAAATAAATTTCCCTAGATCTTTCAGTCTTCATTTCTGAAAGTTTCCAGGCTATGTAAAACTTTGATTAAATAAATTTGTTATGCTTTTCTTTTGTTAACTGTTTTTGTTTGTTTGTTTGTTTTAAGCTTATTGGCACTTTTTAGATGAAGGGAGGGCAGGGGTATTGGGAAAAAGTAAGAATTGATCTTTTGTTTTATGAATGTTGGTTGTGACCTTTATGATGGGTAAGCCAATTCCACCCTTAAATTAAACAATGCTTTTCCATGTTGCTACTAAGGGAAACATGCATATACTCACTGAATTTTTGTTTTTCCACCCAAAAAGTTTTAGAATAAAACAACCTGAATGAGTTACTTATTATTGGGTAGCGACAAAATGAGGAACATTAGATTAAAATTGTTTTGTCTCAAATCACTTTCATTTTCAGATTTTTCTAAGGATGGATAGAAAAAGGACGCTTAGCACATTGTTTGAAAATTGAAGTAGTTTAGGAAGAATAAAGACAAAAAAAACATTAATGCATAGGAATGACTACATAAGTTAAATATTTGTCTTTTCTAAATGATAAAAATCCATTACAATTGGAGTTTAGATAACAATTGGAATGTGATACTAAAATAGCCTTTCTAATAGTTATGACTTGCTTTGGCTATATGTTAGGCTTTTTTTAGAGAAAAGTTTATACTTGTTAGGAGAAAAAAATATTGAGGAAAGGTTTAATTTCTTTATATTGTTTATACTTCAGATACTTGACTTTATCTCTCAACATTATGATCTCACAAACTGACATTTAATTTTTGTATAACAGAAAATGATTCTACGGTGTCTGTGTGTATTTAGTAGTGCAGCATATGAAGACATATCATGTAGTGTGCAATGGAAATTATTCAAGCTCCTCTCTTCTCTATTCTTCAGCTATACAAAGAGAACAAAGCCCTAAACTAAATGAATATAATCCACTCACTATTTGCAATTATGCCTATTGATGTGTGTTTTGTTCAGCAGAAGATGAGAAAATCTGGTCTCTTCTAGGTTCTTAATCTTCTTGATAATGCAGCTGCTTTGCTTTGTATAGGACCTTGTGTTAGCTTCCAGAGGGACACCTGGCCATAAAGAAGATGACATATTCTACTGTGCACAGAGAATGGAATGAGGTCAGGAAGGACTCTCTCCAAATATCCTTGGAATTCTTGAGGTAGAGTTGATATTTCATGTGCCTAAAAAAAAAGGTTTAGCTTCTTGGCCATATAACAAATACAGTTGCACACACCCTTGAGTTTGGAGGATCTCTGCAGTTGGTTTAATGGTCTGTTGTCACCATCTTAAAGTTCTTAATTTTTTAAACAAGGTACTGCATTTTCATTTTGCACTGGGCCCTGCAAATTATGTAGGTTGTCCTTTTATGGAACAGGCTTTGGAAGGGGACAAAGTATGAGAAGCTGCTATTTTTTGGTCTTTGCAAAGATGTTACAACTGAATGCAACAACTATTACTCTGCCAAGGATCACACATATGCAGCATCTACAGGAGATCTTCAGGATCCAGTCTCTCTTCTCTTTTTTAGGAAGACATGATTCTTTACTGCTACCTGCTGCCTTTTTAGTTGCATACATAGTTTCCTTGTCACTGACTATATATGTGTCCATATAATGTATCTGAACCACTGAGGCATTAATAGATATGTTTGCAGTTTCCAGTTTATTGCCTCGAAGACAAAGAGATCAAACTCTTTCTCTCTCCTGTGGACTAGATGACAGATATGCTCATGACTCAATTTTGTCTATTCAGTGGAAGAAGACGTGCTACGCAAAGGCAACCCAAGAAGTAAAGAATTAGGTCCTTGACAGCTTTTCTCAGTGAGAGCTCCTCTGACAGCATCAACTATTTATCTTGGATCAAGACCTACAATCTTTATTCTAGCAACATTTTGCTTTATCTGCTTAGCCCCTTTCCTAACTGATCATAGCGCAACTTTTTTTCTGTGCTAATTTATAATGCTTTGTACTTATCCAGAATTATTGGATAATAAAATATGTGGAGTTTTCAAAAACTCTACTTAGGAAGAATTATTAATTTGCACCAAAAGGATACAAAACTATTGAACCAAATTTCCTCCTCAGTGATTCTTAGAATACGTCTTGCTGGTAAGATCATCAAAATCATCTTTATGAGTACTAATTAGAGTACAGACTATATCTGTAGATGTTGGAGCTTGAGTAAATTAATAGTAACTCCATGACAAGCTCCTGAAATTGCATTTTTCAAAATAAATTCCTGAAACATACTTTCACTGTGACTTGTCTTCACTATGAAAGAAGACTATAGGATTTTAAAAATAACACATGAAATTTCTCACTGTTTGGAAACGTGAAATTTCTCATTGCATGTAAACCATAAAGTATAATACAATAAATATAATTTCATTTCTTAAAAATTTTCAATTACTAAAATTGCAAAGATCTAAAGTATTACACTGTTAATACAGTTGCAAATCCATGAAGGAATCATATGTTCAAGTCTAGATTTTATATTTACCTGCCCCAATGACTCTTTCAATACGAATTCTTGAAGGGTCAATCTCTTTGGCAAATTCATGGACTGCTAGGGATGGATCTTCATAGGTATCAGGATCAATGTAAGTTTTAATTCCTGGGAAGCGTACTGCAAAATAAATAATAGACTGACTTAGGTTAGAGTATTGTGCAATTCATGCTTTTTGTGAATATTTAAAGAAATCACATATGTAAGTACTCAGTTTTGCTACATACTCAAACCCTTTCTTTCCTACTACTCTATCCTCATCCCTCTCTCTAAAGCTTTGACTATATGTGGCCAAACATTTATTTACCTAAAGATAGCCTCTTTAATAAATGATGTTGGAAAAATTGGATCTCAAACTGCCAAGATTAAAACTAGACCCTTATCTTTCATCATGCACTAAATTAAAATCCAAGTGGTTTAAAGATCTAAATATAAAAAAAAAGAAACAATAAACTTGCTGGAAGATAAGTTACGCAGAACTCTGGAAGACATTGGCATAGGAAAAGATTTTATGAACAAATCCTCAGTAGCACGGGAACTAGCAGAAAGAATCGACAACTGGGAACTTATTAAAAAGCTTCTGTACTGCAAAAGAAACCATTAACATAACTAAGAGACAATCTACAATGTGGGAAAAACTTTTTACCAGCTGCTCCTCAGGCAAAGGACTACTATCTAGAATATATAAAGAACTCAAAACAACCACCCCCCCACAATATAAAGACCCAATTCAAAAATGGGCATCTGAAATAAACAAACAAAATGAGAATCAGGACTTGTCATGTAGAGGTAAAAGATCCCAACAATGAATGTAACTCTACTGTATCCCTAAAATTCATCGATAAACTCAATTAAAAAAGGGGAGCTGGGATGATGAGTTGGAATGCCTGGGAAACAGGCATATAGGCTTCCTATTCATTTGTGAGTATCTCAACAAGTTATGCTGAACATTTTCTTGCTTTGCTCCTCAACTCCTGTTTGCCACTTTAGATTGCTAGTGTGTGGAGGGCAGATCATTTCACTGTAATTTTAGATCTTTCCAAATATCTTAGACATGGATTTATAGGTAATGAGAACACAAATCTTTACTAAATGTGAATTTGTATGGATTAAGCGATTAACGCTAAATTTATGGCAGAATGGATGATACTTGCTTCATAGAAATAGCCATACTAATCCAGAGTTAAGTGTTTAGGTCTCCTTAGAAACATGTTTTTGAAAGAAAATGTCAAAAACAAGCCAACAGTAATATAGTAAATGTAGAGTAAGTGATGAAATGTCCATTATTGGCAGTAATTTGCTTCATTAATTCTTCTAAGCTTATTGCCTCCATTTATTAAATTCTGTCTGTTGTCTTCTTAACACTTGATACACATCAAGAGAAAATTAATATTTCTCAAAATAGCACCAGGAAAGTACATTTCCAGGTATTCTTATCCTGGTAGAGATAGATTCTGATGTGCCGTGCTTTTCTTCACTTTTCAAAGTTTAGGTTGGAGGAAAGAGGAAAAGAGAACTGAGCATCTGTACCTCTATGTCTTATGCCACTTGATAGTTTTTTTTTTAACTAAGAGATGTGATTTCAGATTGAGTTCTGTAAGTTCAAATCTAGTAGCTACTAATTGTACTAAATGTACCTAATCAGATATATGGACATGTTGAAAAGGTTAGATACAGATAACAAGTGTTATTTACTAATGCATGCATAGTTTTAACACACACTCTAGTCAACTAAGGTGACACATTGCTGTAGAATAAACTGTTCAGTTAATATCACTTCATTTTGTGTAAATACATCTATGTATCATAGAGGAAAATGACCAAACTTAGTTTCAATTTTGAAAGTCTGATTGCTCATTCACTTATCCTTGTCGTCTTAAACATCAGTTTGTCTTTCTTTTAGCTCCTTTGCTGCTTCAGGTGATTTTGATTACTTCTTGCTGAGCCCATCTGGTATAGTTCATGCTAAGCTGCTGCTTAGCAAACAGATAATAAATACCTTAGGAATTATTTGCTAAATGCTTGGCAGTGAATCTCAAACTTTCCCAGCATAAGTCATCTGTCCAGGTGTCTGGACCCAGGTTTCAGCAACTTGTTTGCAGTGTTTCCAGGCCATCTGATGCTGAGCATTGGTTGTTCCAGCTCTGCCAGTGTGGTGGGACTCATACTTGTTTTACCAAAGAACTATCTGGGAGATCTGTTGCAAATTATGTGCCTTAACCCTCCCCTAGGATTTCTGAGTCAGAACTTTAGGGAATGGGAATGGAATATTATAATATAGATAGTCCTTGGACAACTCAAACTTCAGCCTTCCAAATAGCTCTAAATCATCCCACTGGTTTGTAAGATCCGATCCTTACTTAAATCCTTTCCCTCCCTTGGAGGGTGATACAGATTGGAAAGTCCCTCATACCTTCTGCTTGATGTGAAATAAAAGATGAGTTTAAATTGTTAAACAAGTTGTTTCATGTATCAGCTCTGTACTATGGTTATTTAGTGAACATTGCTTCTGTTAATTCAATGACTCGTCAATAGAGAACCTGTCTTGGCAAAGTAGATTGCAATTCAGAGGTGGAGTGGAAGTGGAGGTGGGTGTTAGGGAGGAGAGGATGGCAATTATCAAACCAACTATAGTGGTAATTATAGCTTGCTTGGGAAGATATCTTCAAATGAATATAACCTTGTAGTCAGAGCAAGGATTTCATACATATTCTAAGAGTTAGAGAGCTGATACTTTTTTTAGTGTTAATGAATTATAAATTGCTTTGTTATATGTTTCAAATGACAGTCCTTACAAGAAGGAACAAAGTTTCCTATATATCTCTATATCTAATTCTCCATTACATAAAATCAAGTCATGTTTTGGAGCTATTATGAATGGTAAATAACTAGATATAATCAGTCAACATGTATTTTTAGCAGATTCAGTTTCTTGTATTTTCTAGCAAGCAGAATTGGAAAAAAGGTAATGAGAAGCAGGTGCAATTTCTACAAACAAACTTGGAAGCGGATGAAAGCTTTAATACTGAAAGGTTGGAAATACTTTCTTTTTTTTTCATTCTCAACTCAATAGATTCAATTTGAAATAAACTCCTAGGGTACTGAGGAATATAAAATAGTAATGGAAGGAAGTCAGTGCATTACTTACAGTGTCCATTCTGTAAGTGGTTTCTTCTTTTCTCTTCTGACTTCATTTTGGCCTTTATATACCATTGACACCTTTTATAGAAGTAAACAGAAAACTATTTTAATTATTATGCAAGGATGAAAACCATTTAAAACATATGTATATAATCTATGGATAAAGTTTTTGTCATATTGACTAATTTAAGACTATTTTATAATGTGAAAATATTCTACAGAAAATTTTGATGCTTTACATAAGAATAAAATACTGTCAAATACATTGATCCATAAGATAGCAATCTTACAAACTGTTTTATAATCAGCTGTAACCAACATTTCCTTTCTTATATAACTTCTTATAACTAGAGTTGGTAAAAAGCACCAAAAATCAGATGAAAAAGTGATTTTATGTCAGAATCTCAAAAATTTGGAAATTTTTCTTTCATTTTCAGCGATGACATAAGGTTTCTTAATGTTTGAAATTTGGTAGAGGCATATATTATTTCTTTCCAGATAAGTGGGCTTCCATGGCTTCTTCAACATGAATGAATTTACCAATATTTATATGATTTTATAATTCATAAATTACTAATTTCTTCTGTTTTGGACTGGGGATTGAACTCAAGACCTCGTGCTTGCCACACTGAGCTAAATCCCTGGCCCTCACAAATTGCTAATTTCAACTGGCTAAAAAGAATGCATCTGCAATACATAATGCAATCATTGAGAATGAGTTTTGCTTCAACTTCTATGGCAATTTGAGCATTTATTCAGAAAAAGCATACATTTTTCATAAAACAATTTCAGTGAATGTTCCTCTACCAAGGTGCATAAGAGACACTTCAAAATGAATGTTTTAAATCTCATGGAACTTAAACAGTCCTCTCCAATATGTAGAATGTTAAGGAAGTTACTAAGATATAAATTAGCAAGTATAGAAATTGAAAAAAAATTTTTATTAAATTCACTTCATAAGTGGTATTCAGGTTCTGCTCCAAGAATCCCAAGATAAAATTTGAGCCCTACTCTCAACTTTATTAAGTCCAGCTTATTTAGTCTACGAAGATTGAAATATTTTAAGTTTGTCATTGCATGTTGAAGTATTTCTTTCTGTTGTCTTGATAAAATGTTTTTCTAATCATATGTGCTATTTAAATAATTGTTTACTAAAATATTGTATGATAAAATAAAGCCTTAATTTCATGTTTGTGAAATATTTGTAAATATGACTAATACATTATACCCAATTGTGCTACATATTGAATCACTATTAAATAAAATATTAAAAATCAACTTCCATGATGAATAGATGGTATATTTTCCTGTTGGTGATATGACTGTTAAAAGTACCATAAATTTCCAAATGAACTTCCAAACTGGAAAATAATCTTTCTGAATAAAAATTAGCCACTATATTTAAATTACCACAGTTTAATTAACATGGTATAATTTGTATCTTTGGAGTTAAGATCTCTTTACAGGATGCCTTTATACTTTAATAGCTGGATAAGCTTCCTAGGCTCTAGAGAGAGGATTGTCTGTAAATTAGGTGCTATTTAATTATAGATGGAGTATTATCCTGTTAATGGTGCCTAAAAATTCACACATGGGCAGCATTCCATTACCAAGGCATAAAGTTTGCTAATGTGGTTTTTAAAACATGTAGCAATACACAAAATATATATAACTTGATTTTCTTTCTGTCTTTCTTGCTTGCTTTCTTGCTTTCTTTCTCTCTTTCTTTCTGGCAATAGACATTGAATTCAGGTCCTCACATTTCATATACTAGGTAAGTGCTCTAACACTCAGCTACTATATCTCCAGAAAATTTTAAATTTTTTATTTTAAGAGAATATCTTGCTAACTTACCCAGGCTGGCCTTGAGCTTGTGATCTTCCCGCCTTAGTCTCCCAAATAGATGGGATTATAAATACAGTATACACCATCACATCAGGGTGCAAATTGACTTTTAAAAATATAATTAAACTGTTGTGACTTTAGATGCAAAAAACAAACGCGCTTTTATTTTGTTTTCCTTTTTCCAGATGTGAGCCTTTTATATCCCTGAAAAAAATTTATATTCCCCTTTTCCCCACATACCATTACTGTCATCTGAGCCTTCACATTGCAAGAGAGTTCTAGATGGGCTAAGAATCTTAACACTTTTTCAGAAAAAAAAAAAAAAAACTTCACCAAAATGCATATGTTGTTGTTGTTGTTGTTGTTGTTGTTGTTGTTGTTTGTTTTTATGACCAGTTGACTCCTGCTAGTGTTTAGGGATTTTGCAGGCCATAATTGGTGTTTGTAGGCCATAGGATCAAATATTGTGTCTCTACCAAATGGTTAATTGGTTCAGAGACTCCAAACTTTGTTTTCTATTTATTACAAAAGATAGGCTGTATCAAAGCTGTAACAAGAAATTATTGGAGGTTAGCACTAATAATGAAAGAACAGAATCATAGGAGATTGCTGGGCAACAGTATCTAAATGCAAAATGGTATCGCCAAACTAGTATTTTTATTAGGATGAAGTTCTCATTATTTTCTTGTCTTCTTTTTCCATTAAGGTTATTGGTACATTTAAACAAACAATACAGCCACATTTATCACCGGGATCTTGTGCCTTCGACAAGGTAGGTCTTGATTCTTCATTTTTCCTCACACTCCTGCCCTCCCTTTACCCCCTTTACCCTTCCCTATTTACAAAGACTTTGTTTCCATTTTTTCCTTTTTTTCACATTTTTTCTTTTCCCTTATTTCCTTTCTCCTCTTCCCAGTTCCCCTTTAGCCATTTCTTCCTATTTCACACTATCAATTATAGCATTTGAACATTATTTACACTTTAAATTGCACCAGAGAACTATTCAGTACTTACTCAAATGTGTTCTATTTATTTCATTTAAAAGTATGGCCTCAATGTGCATCCACTTAGCTATAAATGTCGCTAGTTTCTCATTCTTTATAGCTGAGTAGTACTCCCATTTTGCTTTTTTTTCTTATTACTACAGTTAACATTCTTCTATTATCCAAAAATCACTCTTTTAAAACAAGAGACCATTTCTATTAATTCTAAGAGCAATGCTATGTCTATTTGTATAGCTAAATTTTTTGACAAAGTATAGGGGCTGATGCGTCCCCTTTACAATTCGTTTCATTAATTATTCACAATTTAATTTATCACAAACAATAGGACCACTTTAGAATATTTATTGTTTCTTTGTTCCTTGATAAATTCTGAAAAGTACGTTTCTTTCAAGGAAATCATATTTTCTTTTCTTTTTTTTCTTTTTTTTTTTTTTTTTTTTTTTTGGGGAGA